GACATTATTATTAACATGTTGTTTAATGTTTTATGTTTACAAATACTGCTTTCCACTATTCCGCAAAAGGAAAATCTGAAATCTTATTTCTCATCATTGTTTGTCAATAAATGAATCGGAAGCGAAAACAAAATGTTGATGCTCCCATGATTCTTCAAATTTGAGGGCACACAAAAGAGGTTTTAAGTTTGGACTGAGAACAGTTTCTTTTCCGCTAACATTAACTGGTTTGAACGAACACTAAAACTTACATTAGGTTATGAAACAACAAACTTTTTGTGCATCGCGAAAGTTGTACTTATGTCTTAAGAAACAGTTTCCCCAACAAAACCGCCCAAAAATGTGACATCGGACTTTTTTGTCTTGCACTGATTCCAAATGCTTATAAACACCTTAAGAATCATTCTTATAGATACAGCTTCTTTTAATTTTAATATTCTAAATATGCAGATAAATGGACTCAACAATCTTCATGAAAATGCAAGCATATTCTCTCTTCTTTTCTCTTGCAGACATTGAAGGTGCGAAATCGCAAACAGAGCTTTTGGCAATAATCTCTCGTACTACAAAACAAAATTCCGTGATGTCTATGAGCATTCACTCTCGCACAGCCTGGACACGGGTGATTCCCGCTTGGCACACGTCATGCAGCCACTTCTGAGCTTTCTGAAACCATTTTTGAGCAATTCAGACGTGTGGCCACAGCCCATTCTGCTGCTGTGTGCAAAAGACTCTCTCGTGCAGCAGACAAGTATCATGCAGATGTTGCGTCTATATGAACTGCGCTTGATGTTTGGTCCCAAAATACCAGGCCAGTGGTAATGTACTCATACCCAATTTATGTGTGAAAAATTCCCCAATGGCTGCAAAATCATTTGTTATGTTGATGGCTGTAAAATGCATTAATTGTCGATTATTTACGATCATATACGGAGTGTTTGTAAAGGTAGGGGATGATTTTTTTTCTTACCTCGCCTTCTCGATGACTCTATATTTACAAGTAGCAATTTATGAAATACACATCGATTAGATCCACACATAAAGTCACCCTGGGGTAGAAATATTCTATGTTGTTGAGTTGAAAAGTTTTATAACGGACCACGCTCCTTCCTGTAAATACACTCGTCTCTCCCCCTAAGTCCTTCCTATATAATAGGTACTAATTACCACTCTGCATCTGACCATTGATCTCCCTGTCTGTGAAATCAATCTTTTGTTCCAGCCCAACCAATAACATGACCACCCCCATATAATTTCATATTCTTACATTTTATCTTCCATATGTTACTTTTAGCTCTGCAAGCTTCTTCTTCACCTGATTATCTTGATATTCAAAATACCTGCTGGTGACACCTCCACAAAGCACCACAGCATTCACCCGGAACCAACACAGTGACCATGTCAATGGTATTTTGCCCCGCCGGAAACTCAACACGATCACGAAGAGAACACCGCTTTTCAAATTTGATTATTCCCCCTATGCTCATTAATATTAACAGCTATTTAAAACATCAAATCAGAGATGCGTTCTGCAGCCAAGGTACATGTTATATTGTAATTCTTTGTTGTACAAAATGTATTACTATTATGATGCCTTCATTTTCGAACAAATTGTTACCGCTTATTTGAAATATTTTTAGGATATCAACGGGTACTCGGTAGACCACAGTCGTGACAAACAATTAGTATGTTCCCTCTAGATCCACGGAACATCACTCATCTTCATTCTCCTTTGATTGCGTTTATTGAAGAGATTGAACATTGCTCTTGGCTGTATACTCCAGGTGAGTCCCTTGCACTCTAAATGCCTTTCTATGATGTAGTTAAGGCCAGGTGTGTTTTCAGGGAGACATCATCTCATGGTTGCAGAAGGAGCTATGAAACGCTTACCCAAAGCTACTGAATGGCTTGGCGAGCCACGTACTGCCCAGAGTCATGCAACACTTGGAGTTTCTAGACCCCTTTTGCAGGTACAGGTTTTGCTCTGTGTTCTTTTTTACTAAATATGAATAATAGTTTACTTCATAGTCCATGGTGAAATAAATGATATATTATGCATTTATAATTATACAATTTCATTTAATCTCTGAGCATTCTCTTTACTGTAATAAGTGTCAGGATAAAATAAAAATGATTTTGTGATTGTATATAACCTCGGTTTGAAAAAAATGAAAAAACCAATTTCATCTTGTTCCTGTTAAAATGATTTTGAGTTCTTATTTTTATTGTATTTTCTTGATTTTCAGATACATGTAACTGTGGCAACGCTGTATTGAGATCTTCATTGATTTATATGCCAAGCCGTTGCCATGTATGCGGAGCACTTTCTTAGCATCATTTGCAATATTTTTGCGAGCTATAGAGAAACTTGCCAGTGCAGCATTACAGAGGAATTGTTTCAACCTGATTCAGAAAGATAAGCGTATTGGTAGTGCAAGCTTGGTTGAAAGATGCAGGATATTAGTCGTTTTATAAAGTAAGGCTAATAATATCTCCTTTTCATATTTAGTGCATACTTTGCGTTCCCTCGAATATTAGAAATTAGAATTCAATAAAGAAAATAAGAATATATAAATAAATATATCAATATTTTATAAATTTAAAAAAAAAAAAGTCTTATTTATGTAAAGATAATGAAAACATTAACTTCCTTTTTACGGTCCTACTCTAATTGGACAGAATTTGCAGCAAACAGAAAAGCTACTCCATGCTAGACCGTAGGTTACTGCGCCGTGAAAGAAACTTACAGAGAGGACGGAAAGCCCTGAAGATATAGACAGCGTAATCTCAGAAGCTGAAATTCTGGCTAGCAATTTAGCGTGAATGCGGGCACGTGGTGCCCATCGAAACTTGGTCAGACAGCTAGTCATGCTTCGGGCGGTTGCACAACTGCAAGACAAGTAATGGTTATGCATTATATCTTTTTGCAAATTGTGTTGTTTGTGAATGAAAATTAATTTTAACTTTTGTGTTGGCATGTATTAATGTGAGATGATAGAATCAAAAACGCTTCTAATTGGTCTTGAGGAGGGAATAAATTCTTTATAAAATATGCAGTATCTGCAATTGCAGTATATGGCAAATTATCCGCTATATTTTATTGCTTACTGTTTCATTACTATGTCTGGAAAAAAATGTTAATTTTCTTGTTTTCTTATTGAAGGCTCAAATTTGTACTTTGAACCATTTGGATTTCATCTGTGTTGGTTGATTGAAAGCTACTCAGAAAAGAAGTGATAGTGAAAAAAACTGAGCCTGTTTGGGCATAAATTAGGTTCAGTATTATAATTTTACTTTAAGATTGTTTGACTGTTTGTAATAATTTTTTAAGCTCATAAAGGGCAGTTATCAGAGTTCAATGTATTTTTTTAAGAAAATAAGGTTGGCAAAATTGAAAAACTATACACAATATTCCTCTGAGCTGCCTAATAAATTAGTTTTGAAAATACTAACTTCATACAAAAGTATATGTAGG